CTGATGACAAAGCCTTACTCGTTAATCTTGATTATGATCTTTTTTTTTTATAATCGGTTTACTGGTAGTTAAGCACAAGGCTACACAAAGGGATTTCTGTGATTTTGCCCACCACGGATATCGAAATTCGATTTCTAGCGATTTAAGTCCACAGACATACCGGGGGGGGGGGGCATTTATGGTCGAGTTATCACGAAGGTATACAACTTAATATGAAAGTGCGAGTTTCTTAATCAAAATAACTTTAAATAGTTTTACTCTAATAATGCAGTTTAACTGGACCATAGTTACTTGGGGATCATTGATTGATTCTTTGCCTTTTCTTATGTACATTAATGATATTGGTAGTTGCATAATGTTCAACTCTTGGATATTTCTCGCTGCACTGAGGATGTTGAATTACTATAGAATGACACGGATCAATTAGTTAGTTAGAAGAATATTCGACAAATCACCTATAATTATAGTAAGTGCAATATAATCTTTTGGGTTATCACATTCAGTACAGGTATGAACTCACTCAATTGCATAACTGAAGGATCTTGGCATAGTGGTGCATAAGTCACTCATGCCATGAGACAAAGCTATATTGTTACTAGCAAAGCTAAGTTTAGGGTGCATTTATACACACATTGGTTGCAAATCAAAAGAGGTAATTGTCTCTTTAGACAAATAACCAATTAGGTTTCACTTGTATTAGTGTGTACAGTTTTGGTCTCCGTATCTAAAAGTATGTTGAATTATTGGAAATAGTTCAGATGAGAACTAAAAGGAGAGTCGGGGGGGGGGGGCAGAAGCTATGTTATCATACGGGGATAGGTTAAGATCTAACAACTTTTCTTGAGAAAAAGGTGGATAACAGGTGATGTTACTGAAGTTTACAAGATTTTACGGAGGATTTATAGGATAAAGGCCTCCAATTTATTTGTGCTACATTCTAGATGCAATATCATGAGATGACATAAGTTGAAGACTCAGAAAAGACAGGCTAGGCTCTAATTAAGATAGTTTTATTTCTAACATAACATTAAAGGACAGCAAGGAACCTTTTGGTCCTTCTAGGCTCTCCTATCCATTAAATTAAATTCAATGCCATACCAGTGTTTGATGGCGCCTTGTGCAATATATAAATTCAGCGCTTCTCAATCAAACCTATTAGTTTGCTTTATTATATAATCGAGCAATTGGCTTCTCTCTTCAAGCTGGCAACTCGTGCAAATGCACCGCATGCACTACCCAAAACACAATCCTGATTAAACTAAGTCCTTAATAAAAGAAAAAAAAACACCCCAAAGTCAGCTATTATTATTCAGATATTTATAATGCTTTCCCTTAAATTCACTGCATCCATCACATCTGAAGGCATTCACTAAAAATATTAATTTTGTCCCAACAAACTATTCTTTTTTCAAGAGAAAAAAATTCAAATATCTTAATCTGTCTTCATGATATAACCATTCCATTCCAGGTATCATCCTAGTAACCTTATTCTGAACCATTTCCAACTATCCAATGTCATTTTCCGGGTAAGGAGCCCAAGAATGAATGCAATAGTCCAAATGTGACTTAACCAATAACCCATACAATCGCATTATAGCCTCTTTAAACTTGTATTCAATATCTCTGTAGATACAATCTAAATATTCTTTCATCACAAACGTCTACTTTAAGCCAGGTTTCAGTTATTCAAGTTATGTCAGGATCCTATTTTCCGACCAGTGCCCTAAAGCCACTCATTTTATTTCTTATACTTCTAGCATTACAATAATAAAAGTTTAACCTACCACTAAAACTACTTTTATACCTTGTTCTTACACTATACCCCTCTCTACACCCCATTTTTTCTCCGTTATTCTGGCTCTCTCCACTGTCTAATTCTAGTTTAACGTTGTTCTTATAATTTAGTTAATAACCCTTCCAATATCATCCATTCCAAAATCTCCCTGTTGATATTGAACTAATTCCATAAACTCAATCAGCCAACCTGCTCTTTCTTACATATTAACCAAAGCCTAATATTCAATACCAGTGACCTACTCATAATTTCATCTCCACTGTTAAGTTTTGGCAATATCCCTGACAGAATTAAGTTATTATGACCATTTTCTTTTAATGCCTTGTACTGAGCAGTTAGTTTCTCTGGGCAATCATTCTCCAGATAATTAGCCCTTATGTGCACTATAAAGACTGTATCACTACCAGCACTCTTTATTATATCACTTGGTCTGTCTGTTATATCCTCCCCCTGAGTAGCATAATCTAACTTTTTTCTCTCTATATTTACATCACAGAGTATCTTATCCAAGTGTAGTACTGATGATTCTCCTATAATAATAAAATTCTTATATTTTTCATTCCCGTTCCTATCTGTTCCTTTTGTTACCCTTTCCTCCTCAAGTTCATCATCCACACAAGACAAAGGCTAAAATATGTTCTTTACCAGTTTGCCCTTTATAATTAAATCTACTACTGCTATCCTTATTATTACTGCTTCCAACCACCCGAAAGTCAACACTAGCCTTTATATCCTTCGCATGTAAATGCTCAATTCCCTCTCTAAATCCTGCTGCCCACCTCCCGCATCTTTCCCTTCTCCTTTTCTACCACCTCTATCCTACTTAACACAGTTTCCAAATCCTCATCAAACCAACAGTGGCTTATGGAATGAGTTGCTGTCGGCAGTAGTGGGGGCCGACATTTTAATAATGAATTTAAAAGGGGAATCAATAATTTATTGAAATATAAAAGGTAACTTTGAGTTTTTACTTTTTTAAGAGTGGGTGTGCAGGAACAGCTTTAAAGGGACGAATGGTTTCTTGTTTTGCGAATGTATGGTTTATTAAAGAGTTAGGCCTGAATATTTTCTCGTCTTCTAAGCAATCAGTGACATTATTACTTGCTCACGAGATTTAAAGAGCATGCATCTAGAAAAATATGTTTGAGCTTTTTATTTTAAAAGTTTATATGGTTTTCATTTCAATGATTAAAGTTTATGAGTTTATTCTTATTATAAACTTTTCATTCTTGTACGTTTTATAATTATTTCGTTAAATGAAATAAAGCAACTTTGCACGAAAGTAATAAAGAAGACATAAAAAAATTAGTCAAAAGAAGCAGATAAAATGAGAAATAATTAAAATTAATATAACATTTATTATACGTTAGAATTTCTCGGAAAAACTGGCGCCATCTGATAGATAGTAGTTAAAGCTAACATGAGTTATAAACGGAAAATCCATAGAGATATTTACTTCTAATTTCCATAGGAAAAAACATACGTGATGATGTTGTTATCAGGTGTTGGGAGTTTTTTATTATTTACATGTTTAGATATCCAGATTTCGGCTGAAAATGTAGAAGAACTTAGGTGAATATAAGGAAAATATCTTTTAAAACTAAACATTAAATTTAAAACCTTTAGCATTGACACGAATAGTGTCAGTGTTTGACTCTGCTACTTCGAAGTTCGAGTAGATTTAAAAATGTTATGTCGAGGATTGCCACTTAATTGTGAAATCTTTCCTTGAATTTAGAATAACAGAAACTGAGAAAGAATAGTAGATTAATTCCAACTTTGATACTAGTAATAGTGTATGAAATATGTTCCACTTATACTAGTTATAGACTGGATAGTGTAGTATTAAATACTGTTATTGAATATTAATTATTATTCAGTGTAGTTTGTTAAACAGCATTCGTCAAATGTTAACAAGCTTAAGAGTGGTACAGAAATTTAGATAAATTGTATGATTACTGTTAATTAATGCAAAAATAATACCTAGTATGTTTTTGATTTATCTTGTCTGTAGACTGTACACTTGGTTTTCATTATAAAAACATTATTATTATTATAGTTAATAAAGTTAAAATTAGAATTATGATTTATAATGTAAATAAATATTAATGATGTTAATAATAGTTTAAGAACTTAATTTTGTTTGCATGATTTCTTTTGTAAATCGTGGTGTTCATTCACAGTCACATGTAAATATAGTTCATACTTCAATCCTTGGTTCTGTATTTTCTAAATTGTAGTGACTTACCTTTTGAAGTTATTCAATCAATTGATCAAATTAATAGTACTATTAGTATTAGAGTAGCAATTTTCACAGTCAATGTAAGTTATTCTTAATGGCCATAAGATCATGTAAACCAAGACCTAAATGAGGTCTTCATTATTAAAAAATATAAAACATGATCACTTCATGAATTGATTGAGAGGGAATAAATCCAAAAATATGCACATACATCCAAAAGAATATCTAGAATAACTTCTTGTCTGATGAGAGAGAAAATAAAGTTTAGTAATGAAGACAAGATGATGGTAAAAATAAAAAGCATTAGAGGTTTCAAAATATAGTTATTTCTCATTATTACTAATTGTTACTATTGTAATGCTACAAGTATACAAAATAAAATAGATGACTTTAGAGCACTGGTAGGAATAGAGGGTTTTGATATAATGAGAACAACTGAAACATGATTAAACGTAGATGATTTTGATGACAAATTTTTTTTTAAATAGAGGGTTACAGGCTATTTAATAGGGATAGAGTACTAAAGAGAGGGGGAGGAGTGGCTTTATATGTAAAATGTGAGCTACATTCTATTGAAGTTGAGGATATGAAAGATAATAGCAAGGAGATTGAATCCATTTGGGTTTCTTTTAGTGGATATAAAGAGAAAAGACTTTTAGTGAGAATTTGTTTCAGACTAGATGATACTAATGAAATTAGTGAGAAACTTTACAATGATATTAGATTCCAACTGTTAACCTAGTCATAATTATAGGTGAATTTAATTTCAAGCATATAGAAATAATTGAGAGGATGGAAATTGGGGAACATCTGGGTGCCAGTGATCATTGCTTTCTTAGATTCAATGTTTTGCTGTATATGGAGATAAGGAATAATGATATTTTGGTTACAATTCAAAAAAGTAAATTTTGAAGGGATGCGACTAGAATTATCTGTTGTGAATTGGGCAGCTGAGTTATTTGGAGAGACTGATGAGACATGGAAAATTTTTTTAAAGATATGTTTTTAAATATTAAAGGTAAACATTCCTTATAGAAAGGAAAGGAAAGGATAGCTGCAAGTAAAAAACCAGGTTGGCTCACAAAGAGTATGAGATAAAATTAAAGAAAAGCATCACAAATTAAAAATATTTTTAATTGACTGGTATGATGGGAGATTTAAAAGATTATAGAAGATCAAGAAAGTTGGTGAAACAGGTAATTAAGACATCAAAAAGGATGTATGAGAAGAGATTGACTGAAAATGTAAAATTAACAGTAAGGATTTCTTTAAATACATTAAGGATAAATAAAATGTTAGGATTGGAGTAGGACCCTTGAGAGATGATAAAGGAAGGCTTGTATCTGATGATTATGAGATGGTTGAGTTATTAAATTTTGCTTTTTCTTCAGTTTTTACTAACAAAGATTTAAGCAGTATTCCACATCTTGAACAGTTGATAGATGGAAACAAGATGACTGCATTAATCCTGAGCTTGTTAAGAAAACATTGGGAAGTTTAAAGAATGATAAAGCTCCTGGGCCAGATAATATTTCCCCAAGGGTATTGACGGAGGTTAAGGATTGGATATGTGTGGATTAGTGTTACATCAGTTGTGGAAAAGTATTGGAAAGTCTTATAAAAGATGCTTTACTAAGTCATTTAACAAAGTTTAGAATTTTATTGGTTAATCAAGATGATTTCACTAAGGAAAAATCTTGACTTACAAATCTTTTGACATTCTTTGAAAAGTTAATGCTTATGTAGATGAGGGTAAGGGTGTAGATTTGGTGTATGTGGATTTTCAGAAAGCATTTGACAAGGTAAAAAGTATGTAAAAAAATTATCTCTCTAGGTGTGGGGGATAAGTTAGTAAATTGGATGGAAGAAAGCAGAGGGTTGTTACAAATGGAGTTCAGTGTAACTGGATTAATGTTACATGTGGGATACCTCAGGACTCAGTCTTAGGACCTTTGCTCTTTTTGATTTACATCAGTGACATAGATGAAGAAGTGGTCAATAAATTACTTAAATTTGCTGATGATATAAAGGTATTGGGTGTTTCTGGCTGTAAAGAGGATGCTGCTGCTTTACCAAAGGATTTAAATCATTTAGTGAGTTGGGCAAATGGGTCTTAATTATAATAAATGTAAAATAATGCATATGGGTTATCATAATTTGAATTATAAGTATAATTTGTATGGGAATAACCTTAACAATGTCATGAAAGAAAGGGATCTTGGTGTAATAGTTGATCAGTCTCTTAAGCCACCCAAGCAGTGTGCTGTTGCTAGTGGTAGGGCAAATAGGATTTTAGGTTGTATCTACAGAAATATTGAATACAAGTTTAAAGAGGTTATAATTTCATTGTATAGGTCACTGGTTAGACCACAGTTGGATTATTGTTTAATGTTGGGCTCCTTACCTTAGGAAGGACATTGAACTGTTAGAAAGAGTTCAGAGGAGGATTACTAGAATGGTGCTTGGGATGAAGGGGTTGTCATACGAGGAGAGATTGGGATCTCTCAAATTGTTTTCTCTTGAAAAAAGAAGATTTAGAGGGGATGTGATTGAGGTATTTAAGATTGTAAAAGGAATTGATAATGTTGATGCATCATCTTTTTTTCATACTTAACAGTGAGAATAGTAGGACTAGGTTGTTTGGTGCTTTATGGCGCAAAGCAGCGGGGCTATCTGTGCCGATAGTAGGACTAGGGGACATAGATATAAATTTTGGCAGGGTAGGAATCATCTTCAGCTAAGACATTTTTAATTTTCTACCAGAGTAGTTTCCTTTTGGAATGGGTTACCTTCGGATGTTTTAGAGGCAGTAAATTTAAGTGTGTTTAAGAGAAGGCTTGATAAGTATATGAATGATAAGGGCTGGCTTTAAAATTTGTTTTTTTAATGTATTTAGTAATAGTTTTAGTTTAGAGGATGGGACAGCTTAAATGGACTGATAGGTCCCATATTGTCCCAAAACATTATGTTATGTTATATGTTATTAGTGAAGTCTAAAAATGAGGCATGTGAAAGAATTCATTACAGATAGATGACACAAAACCAGAATGATATTTGAAAACACAAAGTGAAGTTTAGAAAACAATGAGAAATAAACAATAGAAACCTGAATTTACGTAATTAATATTAACTTCTAATCAGATCAAGCAATCTACTTAGGTCAAATCTTAACTTCAACCTGGTATTTGTAATGATTATAGCTAATTAAATGTGTTATTATTTGTGAAGATTAGAGTGTATCATTTTATCAGTTGGACACCCTCACCGTTAATGATATTTTTAACCATAAATTGTAAAACACAATCAAAATGTTAATAGTATTATGAAATAAAGAAAATAGAGTTATACATAAAATATCAAATGATGAAAATATAATGTTATTATATATATTATATACTGATCAGAATTTAGGATACAACAAGAGTTATACATAAAATATCAAATGATGAAAATATAATGTTATTATATATATTATATACTGATCAGAATTTAGGATACAACAAGAGTTATACATAAAATATCAAATGATGAAAATATAATGTTATTATATATATTATATACTGATCAGAATTTAGGATACAACAAGAGTTATACATAAAATATCAAATGATGAAAATATAATTCTATTATATATTATATACTGATCAGAATTTAGGATACAACAAGAGTTATACATAAAATATCAAATGATGAAAATATATTGCTATTATATATTATATACTGATCAGAATTTAGGATACAACAATTTCAAATTTATAGTTACTTGCCAAAATTAAAATTAGAGAAGGGTGGTCTTTTGGAATTGATAGAAGTTCAAGGTCTATTGAAGTTTAAATCATGATTACAACTGAAATACTGCCACTTATAAATAAAAATGATTTTCATCTTAATTGTCATCTTTTTCTTAATTACTAAACTGTTTGTCTCATCTAGAATAGCTAAATGTAATAATGATTCACTTAGAATAGTGTAGATATTAAAAGAACATGTTGTTGGAAATTAAATGTATAATTATTCAAGCTTTTATGATTTTGATGTCAAGCTTTACAATCGGACCTAAAAAATTCCTTTCTTCACTTTTTATGCGATCATAAATAAAGTTAGGTTTTGGTTTTATTTAAATCGTACTTTAATACATCATAATTCTGTAATATTTTTTTAACACCTGCATGTGAGCCAGCCCAGCATTTTTTTAGTACTGGACCTAGGATGGTCAACAGGGGAGGGTCATTCTGGAAACTGGTGGTTTAGGGTTATTTTGATAGGTTTTGATGAATGAAGCTTGACATAATTTCTAAAACAAAAATAAATATTAAAGAAAATATGACAT